GGAATGAATTAATCCTGAGTAAAAAATATTTATCACAGCTCTTTTTGTGGTGGAAAAGAATTGGAAACTCAGGAGGTGTCCATTAACTAGGAAATGGCTTAACAAGTTATAGTATATAAATAGAATGGAATACTATTGTGCTGAAGGAAATGATGAAGTGGATGGTTTCAAAAAAAACCAGGAAGACTTGTATGAACTGATAGAGTGAAGTAAGCAAAATCAGGAGAACAATGACAATATTGTAATGGAAAGACGAACAACTTTGAAAGGCTTAGGAGCTCTAATCCGCATAATAACCAATCATGATTCCAGAAGACTCATGATGAAAAAATGCTACCCACTTCCTGATAGAGAAGTGAAGGATTCAAAGTGAAGAATGAGATTTTTTTTAACATGGCCAATGCAGGAATTTGTTTTGCTTGACTACACATGTTTGTAATAGAGGTTGTGTTTTTCTTTCTTTCTCTAACAGGGGAAGAGGAAGATAAGATATGTGCTGGTTGAAAAATGAAATGACTGAGGAAACAGTGGTTTGAGATTCCAAACATTTCGATTTATTGAGCAATGTATACCAATTGCTTGACAAGCAGGGACCAGACCTCCTAAGCTTAGATCTGGACCCCAAATACCTGGGAGATAGACTTTTGTACATCAAAAACAATTAATCGAGTAAGGCCAATTAATTAAAAGGAAACAATACAACATTAAGTATCTCATTTCTAATTGGAGGAAATATTAAGGACTTTCTGAATTGGGAGAGGGGAGCAAACAGGTGCAAAGAGAAGGCATATGTTTGCTGATTTAAAAAAATGTTTTAAATTCACTTTTTAAAAGAATTTTTTAAAAAATAGAAAGAAATAGCACATACAGGAATCCCCCTGACACAGAAAGAACCCTGTATCTGTTACTTAGATCTAAGTGTTCAGTGATCATGCTTCTTTCTTTCCTCCCCTATGTCACATTCATCTACTCTCCAGCCTTCTAATACAGATAAAATTTTCCTCTTGTCTCTCTATACCCTTTTTCTTCATTTCCTCCTTGAAGCATTTCTTCCATTGAACCAGGATTCATTGCAACCACTGTTCCTGCCCTCAAGGAACCTACAAAAATAAGTGGCAATCAGAGCCAGAAACTCCCAAGATGTTTCCCATTAAAACTCAACAACAGCCATGGTGTGTATAATCTGCAATGTCTGCAATGAAATGTATTTGACCTTCTGACCCAAGGAGATAAGGGCAACGGCAGAAAGAGGGAAGATGCACAAGCCTTAAGCAGTGTAGGGGCAGCTGAAGTGGCCTTTTTTCCTGAATACAAACTGTATCCTTTTAAGGATAATTCATCTCAACAAACAAAGCAAGACTTCAAGGATTTGGTTTTTAAAAACCACCATGAAAAAAAAAAAGCACTAGGTTACTTAGTGATGGTAGGGATGGCAAAGGAAGCCAAAAGCACTTGTGATTAGTGAAGTCTTTGCTTCCGTCAAGCTGGCATGCCTGAGGGGACAGCAGTCATGGGCCTCTATCAGCACATGGCAGATGGTACGAGGGCCATCACCAAGCAGTGCTTTATTAGCAGCCTACTTATCAAGCCAACCTGTCAGGCAAACACCCAGGCTGGGGCCCCAGCCACCTTCCCTAGCCAAAGCAAACAATCCCTACACTCCTGCTTGGGGCTCCCTTTGCTCATAATTTAGCAAAGCTGTCATAGGCTTCTTTGGGAGCTCTCATTAAGTTAAATTTGTAGCTATTAGCCTGAGAACCAAAGCCTAGAGAACAGCTGATTTAACACAAGTCTCAGCTCTTAGACCTCACCACAGCCCAAGGTGAATTCACTTGATTTAGTATTCACAAGCAAACCTCAGGAAGTTTAAATCCCAGCCAAGGGGATGTATAGATGGGTATATAAGCCCCTCTAGGGGGTGTTAGTCATTAACAGTGTCAGATTTGTGGTTTCAGACTACCAAGGATATTTTTTTAACCTGAAAAAAAAGTGGTTAACCTTCTTGCTTATAGTTTAAAAAACAAAATTCCTTGTTCCCTCTTTCCTTAAATTTGGAGTTTGCCCTGTTTAGAGCAGCAGAGATTCAGAAGGGATAGGACCATCTCATTTTTCTCATTACAAAGCTTTCTACACTTAAGTTTTTTTCCATTACTAGAAACAACTTCCTTTCTTGTTCTACAAGACACTTCAGCAGAGAGCAGTCAGAAGTGAATGAGTTGTTACACAGGTGATTTATCTGGGGCAGGATATTACTGACTCTCCATTTTAAGAATTCACTATGATTACAATCCCAATATAGTCAGCCAGCTTTTGTCTGCTGATCAGAAGGAAAACAGTGAACATGAAATGTTTTTTTTTTCCTTTTTCATATCAGAAATCTGTATGTGAGAATGTGTATCTTGGAATCCTTTCTGCTCTGGGGTTTTCATTTCGTGTTTCTTTAACCAATATTTGATGCCTCCAGTGTTCGCTTTATGTGTAAGATATCATGAAGGGGATGTGGAGTTTGGGGGCCGAGAAAGTCCCACTGTACGTTCCTTGATTATTGTCAGTGACATCATTTCCTAATCCTCTCCTGGGCTGCTCTGTCAAAGGGCAAGAGCCAGCCTCAAGGATGGTGGAGAAAAAACCAACCCATATTTTATCCATGGTCCAAAACCTGTCCCAATAATCCCCTCAGAGGAGGGGAAAATGTTTATAGATTGGGCCTAAAAAAGAAGGGATTTCCATGGACAGGAATGAAAGTAGTCTGGCAGTATGATATAAGGGTCAGCAAAGGGTAGAGAGATAGGAGAAGGCAGGGTAGGAATGGGAATGGTATACACTTCAGTTTGGCTGGACCACAGAGCTCCTCTCCATTTTTTATGACTCATAACCATTACCGACGTCTTAAAAAACACCTCAGTCCATACATGGATTTCTCTGATAGCCTATAACAATCAGCTATCCAGTTTCTAAGATCCCAAATGGATAGAGTAAATAAAGAAAATGAAATGAGCTCTCCTGCAGAATAAGCAGAACAGAACTCCTCTTTATTGATTGGTCACAAAAGAGCACAGGTGTTTTATCTATACAAACAAATGAACAGGATGGGGCACAGAAGCGCCGCAAACCAAGGATTCAATCATTCAGACATCCAGAGAGATGAGCACTGAAGAATATCAGATGTGTTACAATAAAAACCATCAGGAATAAGCCTGGGACTTTGCAACGGTGTGATCTTAATTAAACCAGATCATACGGCTTTGAGGTTTGGGTTCCCCATGTTGATTAGGGAGGAGAGAGAGCTGGCTCCATCAGATCTTAAAAGAGTGTGAATAAAAAGCACCTGCCAGCCATGACTGGCAAGAGGGAAGAGAGACATAGCGGGAGAAGGAGAGATGGCACATGAAGGAGAAGCAGATGGGTCAACTGTACTGTTTGTGTGCTATGTCGTTGAGGGCGAGCTATATCCCTGCTTATGGAGCCATGGAGACCAGAAGACAGACAGTATGATAAGATGAGAGAGCTTTCCTTTTTACCCATCTGAGGTCATCCATGCATAGATTCCTTGTCTTTAGGCCATTGAGACAAAGATGGGATGGCATTGAGCCATACTCCAGTGACAGTTTCGGGGACCAAATGGTTAGTAACCATCAACATCCCTAGATCCGGAATGAAGAGGGTGAGCGAGTCCCTACCCCACAGTCATCAAAGGGGACACGCACCTAATGAGGAGCCCTCCTGACAGTGAGGAAGGCTGAAAATGACTGCTTGACCATTTTATATGCTTGATAAGATGAAGGGACAGAATCTGTTGTTTGCTGTTGTTGTTGTTTTCCTGGCTGAACCTCTTCATGGATGTTTGAATTAACCATAAGTCATAGAGATGATAGAGCCAACCATGAAACTCCTTCTAGTGAAGGAACCATGAGATTTCCTCTACTTACTCTGACTCTGATAGCAAGGTTTGCCAAAGAGAACAGAATTACTTGGGGATAAGCCTCTGCCCTCTTTTGCATGTTTTGGGATCTGCAATGTTCCAATCCACTCACTTTCTTCTAGTCCAGCTCCATTTGGCCGCTCTCTCTCTCTCACTCTTTAGTGGACAGGCATATGCTGCTCTCCTTTTTGTCCGAATTCCCCTTCTGCTTTTCCTGTCTTCAATGCAGCACTCTCTCTGTATTTGCAAATGTGTTATCATGTATTCTGGGCATTGGGTGGCACAGCAGATAGAATGCCAGGCCTGGAGTCAGGAAGACTCATCTTCCTGAATTCAAATCTGGCCTCTAAAGACACTTAGTATGACCCTGGGCAAGTCACTTTACCCTGTCTGCCTCTGTTTCTCATCTATAAAATGAGCTGGAGAAGGAAATGACAAACCACTCCAGTATCTTTGCCAAGAAAACCCCAAATGGAGTCACAAAGAGTCAGACAGGACAGAAACTAACTGGACAAAGCGCGTATTCTTCTTATGACTTTTAGGCAACTAACTTACATCACTTCAAGGGTGAGACTCATTTTGTTGTTGTTGTTTTTCTTTCCCCAAGTTCTACATTGGCTTTCCATACAATAAAAGTTGGGTGAAAAAATTAATGAATGTCCCTAGAAATTAGAATTAGGGTCCTTGAGAGCACTGAGACTCTGAGGGGGAGGGGAGATCAAGCTGCTTCCTACCATCTCCTCTCACCCTTTGATTCATGTACCGTTGATGACATTGAGAGTAACACAGTAGAGAGTGTTGGACTTAAGAGTAAAAAAGTTCTTAGTTAAAAATCCTACCTCAACCACTTAGCAGCTGTGTGACCCTGAGCAAGTCACTTAACCTTTCCCAGCCTCGGTTTCCTGTCCTGTAAAAAGGAAATAAAACCAACCTCACAGAGTTGTTGTGAGCATCAGAAAAGATGATGTATGTAAAATGCTTTGCAAACTTTAAATGTAAAATAAATGTTAGCTATTATCTTCATCATTGTTGTTATTATTACCAGTGAACAACATAACAGAATGCTGTCTCCTTTCAGGTTTGGCAAACAATTGAATTTATCATGACAGCTCAGCAGCCCAACTGAAAAGCAAGGACAGAGTACAGATAAAACTCCTTTCTTCTTTCATCCTCTCTTTGGATGTGTGGCCTACATGGCTGGAACAACATGTGACTTGAGCCCTAATGGAGAGCCTTGTGTACCTGTAAGGATGGTGTCCCAGCGGCACTCAGGAATGGTGGGACATGTTGAGGTGGGGGGCAGGAAGTAGAGAAATGGATCCAAATAGAAGGTCAAATCTTTGTACTGTATGCTAAGGCTGTTGGCTGTGGCACCAGCAAGGTGGTTGAGTTTTAGAGTGTTTTGTGTTGGTTTTGTATTTTTAAAATAATTTCCCTTTTTTTTAAAATAATGTGGGTCACATGGCGATCTTGTCTTTTGGATAACATGGATAATTTGAGATTATGAAATGGCAATTTTGCAAGATGGAACCAGGAGATTTGTGCTTTGCTCCCTTCTTCCCCCCACCCCATTCCCACTAAGCCTAGGCCTATCAAATAATAAAGAGAGATAAAAAGCTCCAGGAAGGAAAAGGCAGTATCTTAGGCCAGGACTACAGGGCTGGATCCAAGTAGAGGAGAGCCAAATTGTCTCCTGAATTGGGGACACCTTGATGGTTGATCCTCATAAACTCAGGCCAAATTGTCTGCCATTACCTTTACAGTGAGGATGCCCAGTTTAAATTGGGCACAAAGTCAGAGAGTCCACCACTCAGCTGGAACACAGACATTTTGGAGCAGATCAAAAGGACCTGAACTTGTCTCTCCAAAAGCCATGGTAGAGAGGCTCGGGTGGGCAGTCCAGACTTCAGGGGACCTTGATGTGGATGTCTGTGATTCTCTGGGATTTTGGCCACTGTTTCCTTGTGACCAGGGAAGAATTGTTGCCTCTTCCAGAATTTTTACAAATACCATGCCTCAGTTAGCCATAGTAGAGACAACCTAAGAATCTGGAATGTTTTAGTTTTCCAGCATGTAACGTGGTGAAATAGTGGTACAAGGCCAATGATTAGATGGTCTGGCTAGGTCTTAGCCTGGTGGGGGCCCTTTGAGAACTGAAACCAGGGAGCCTTGGGAAACGGAAACAGCTTAGGAACATTCGATGATGCCACAAATTGAATAAAAGAATTTGCCCGCTGTCTTTGTAGTCTACGTCTAGCAAGGATAAAGATTGAAAGCCCTGGAAGGAGAATGTAAAATGGGCTCCTTCTCCCTCCAGGCCCAGGGTAAATGAGTTGTGCTTATGAAAATATAATTTTAAATCTAAGGACCTAAGAGATCACCTAATCCAACTCCCCCCATTTAAAGAAAAGGAAACCAAGGCCCAGCAAAGAGAAAGGACTTGCCTGTGGCCAGCCACCCACAGAGTGACAGAGCCAGGACAAGAGCCTTTGTCTCCCTCGTTCTGGACCAATGTTCTCCCCACCACATCACCTTGATTTGGCCCTTTAAACCTTACTCATCTGAGAAGACCTGGACAGTTTAGGACTCACACGTATGTACATGGATGCATGCACCTCACACGAGTAAGATCTGAAGTGGGTTTGGAGGTATAGCCGTGTCACTGTCATGAAATTAACAGCTGTCCCAGGGAAAGGGCTGGGCACTCCCAGTCTGCTCTCCGGATGACAGAGGGCTATGTACACTGGAGCTAGTTAGATGCTATTGATTCCAAGTCTCCAGCTGGAGGCAGTTATTCTCTGGATCCAAAGGCCTTGTTTGCAGGGAAGCATGGGGCAGCCCCCATGAAGCCAGCCAGGCTGGGGCAAAGCCAAGAGGGGAAATGAGGAAAGGAAGACAAATTGCAAGAGTTCCTCTCCCACAGGCACACACGCAGCAACCAAATGGTTGTCATGTGATGGTTCTTACACAGAGCACCGCCTCCAAACCATGCCCTCCTGCCCGACACGGCCTTTGGCACAGAATCATGCTTAGACTATTTGCCCAGGAATCCCGAAGTAACAGAAGCAATGCTTTGAAAAGACTTCCTCAGATTTTTTTTTTTAAGGCCAATTTCTAGCAAAGTTTTGGTTTGGGTTTGTTTGTTTTTTATGTGTAAGAAAGTCTTTTCAAAGCTTCTATGTCTTCCAGATTTAGAGGCAAACTAAGTTTCAGTTGAAAATGTTCTATTTACCCATACCAAATTGTCCTCTTGAGGCCAGGGAAAGCCAGCAGTAGCTCTTCTGTGCTCCTGAAGGTGAAAACATAGCTTTAAGACAGGCAATTTCTATGGAAGCCATGTCAGTGAATCCCAAAATGGACCATTCCCAAAATGTCCTGCCCCACTGATAGGAAATCAAGCCTTCTCTCTTCTTCAGAAATAATCAAAGAATGCCAAAACTGGAAGGGACCTGAGATGCCATCTAGACAGCCTCCTCATGGGACAAAAGAGAAAACCAAGGCTCAAAGAAAGGATGTGCTTTGCACATAGTTGTCACTTAATAAATACTGAATTGAAGTGACCCAGCTAATATTACACAGTCCATGGCAAGGTTGGGACTAGATTTTAAGTCTCCAGCTGACCCTTCATCTAATGGTCTTTCCAGTATACCACACTGCCCATTTAGATATGATTAAGAACGTAAAATGTGTGGGGGTTTTATTAATGTAAACATAAATATTTTTAAAGTTTAGGCATAGGAATGGCTGTTGAAATTTCTGAAGCATAGATAGGCCTTGTAACCTGATGTGGGACAGGAGAAAAAGAATGGGGAAAATTAAAGTGGGTATTATGTACTGGATGAGGAGAGGATGCAGAAGATATGTAGAGTATGTGTAAGGAAATGTATGGGGAATGTGGAAACACAGTGATGTGTGTGTATATGTGTATTGGCTATATGGGAATTTATTGAGGAGAGTGTTTGGGAATACTTTGTGAGTAGGTACATGGGCTTGGGGCAGGGACAATTGTTTAGGAATAGTTTGTAGGTAGGTACCTAGGTCTGGGCCAGGTGGGGGGGGGATAGAGGGTGTCAGTTGAGAATGTAGGAAGTGGCAGTATGGGGTCTATGGGAATGTGTATATAGGAAGGGAAAATAATGGATCACTCATAGTGACTGTCCTACTGTGAAAGGCTGAGTTCTGTATTTGGTCCTGGATGCTTTAGAAGCCAGGAACTTGAAGCCAAGGGAATGATAATGCCTGGTGGCCAGGAAGAGAACAGTGTGGAAATTGTTGAAAATGACCAGCAAGTCCTTGATGACCCAATCAGGGACTGTGTTAGTGATGGCAAGAGGTGGGAGGAGACATAGCAGAGATTGTAGGAAGCCATTGAGTATCACTGGGAAAGAAATGAGATAGAACCATGCTGTTCTTCCTAGAAACTTAAACAGCAAAAGGGGAGAGCGAAATCTTCGCTTTAAATCACCATTCAGAACTCTTCCCCATCCCCTTCTGCTGAACACAGCATAAGTCCTCCAAGTTCATGATGAACCTAGCTCCTTAGGTCGGTAGGGACCTGGAGACATTATTCCAGTTTCCATCTGTAGAAAAGTATGAAGTCCCCTCTTTGTTTTAGAAGACCTTCAGAACCTATAAGAAACCACCTTCCAACATCTTTTATCAAACTCTTTTGGGAGTCATCTTTAATCTCTGCCCCCTCTGAGTTTATGGGGCCCAGAAGCATGGCATAGTGGATCAGGCACTAGACTTAAAAGAGGAAGATCTGAGTTCAAATCCTCCCTCAAATGCTTACTAGCTGTTAACCTGGGGAACTCACTTAACTCTATGCCTCACTTTCCTCATCTGTAATATTAATAGTAATAGCTAGCATTTAGGTAGTGTTTAAGATTTGCAAAGTACTTTCCATGTGTTATCTCATTTGAGAGTAGTGGGCTCAGTGACCTCTAAGGTCCCTTCCAACCCTAAATCTATGCTCCTATGACCTTGTTCCTCCTTGTTTTGTCCTCTCCCCAGAAGAAGAAGGTGGTAAAGAAGCTTGTAGAGAATTACTTATCCTGACTCATTGGTTACAATATAAGAAAATGTGCTTTTCCCCCCGTATATGTGGATCTGTATTTATTTGGGTCAATCCATGGGAGAATACCAATGTTAGATAGGTGAGTAAGTGATTTGTCCTTTTCCTTATCTCAGGAGTTATTCAGACGGAAAGAGCCTCCTCCATGCTGTGTTTACTCAGTATTCTCTCTCTACCTTATACACTCAATCGATTTGGGAGTTTGTTTTTCCCTCTTTTCCTCCAACCTCCTAATTAGTTCAGCCTCAAAAAATCCTTTATCATCTCCAGATGTCAGATCAAGCTCCACCAATAGGATCAGCCATGTTAAACTTTCCATTAATTGATTTTGGTCCCCACCCTTGGGAAGCATGAGTTAGCTCTTCCCATTAAGGGCAATAATTACCCGTTAGGAAATTGTAAATCATACATTCTGTCTGTCCATCTTAGCCGTGGCTGTCACCTTCTTGAAATGAATGGATAGTGAGAGAGGAATAATGTAAGGAATAATGATGAACTCTTAACCAAACTTCACCAAGTCTATAGAGGATTTTTGCTGACATGGCCAAAAAAAAAAGGCCAAATTTATACATTGATGGATTTACGTGGTTGACTAAATGGCATGATCCAAGGGGACCCTAAGCAGCCCTCCACTGGCCCAAAACATGAATCGTCATAACATCATTCCTTAGGCTTTGGGGAGATTTTGGTCTTCAACTCCCTCTCTTAAATGCGCATTCATTCAAGCATCTAAGTAAGCATTTGTTCAAGTGGGTGTCTCTCACCATTCTTTCACCAGTCAAGCAAAAAAGCCAAACCAAAAAGCAGTCTTTCCATTCTTAGTTTCTAGTACCTAGCCTCTCCAGTGCCAAACATAGGTATACCGGGCTGGGGGGGGAGGGGTGGTTCGTATGGAGTGTGGCTATAGGGGAATGGGTATGGGGTTGTATGTGCATGTGTGAATGCAGTGGGGGAGGGGGAAAGAAGAGAAGTTGTATGTAAGGAAATAGACCATCTACCCCTAAGAGGGATCACAGCTTAAGGCTATGGCGCACAGCTTAGCTGTCAGTTAACAACTTTGTATTGATAGCTGTCTGAGGACAAGACCCTGTAAGACTTGGAACATAGAATAGGAAAAGGCTGGAGAGGAAATGAGGAAATAGTACAAGGCTACTCATAGGAGAGGTGAGAGACTGAAGACATAGTTTCTGGGCCAGTTTTGCTTCTTTGCCCAAATCCAGCACCATGGCAACCCTAGAATGATACTTAAGAATGGTGGCATTCTCTCTACCACACCCCAAGATGGCCTCTCTATCACCCTGACCTGAGGCTTAAAAGTACCTCTTTACAATTCCACTCACCGCTCCATGTTCTTCTCTCTGGAGACAAACAGAAAAAATCTGATCCCTTTTCATATGACTGCCCTGGAAATATCTGAAAACAGCTATCAGTGTCTCCCTTGAATCTTATGTTCTCTATTTTAAACATTCCTACAACGGAGAGGATTCACCAGGTGGAACCCCACCTAAAACAAACCAGCAGGTGAGATTCTCCTCTCATGTTGTCTCTGGTGGAGACAAACAAGCAATGGTCATCATCCTGTCATGTTCTGCTTGGAGACCGAGGGATGGACAGGATGACCCCCGGAAAACAGGGCTTCCTTCCCCACTTCCCAGGGAAACATTCAAAGTGGTAGAGGAATGGGGGCAAAATGGGTTTGGCATATTTGACATTTCATCTAGCAAAGCTGGGCCTCATTATCCAATTCTCCCCCTCACTTTCAAAGTAGATAGTTTGCATATAATGTCCAACTTGGTTAATGTATTGTTTAGTTTGGGGAAACTGGGTTTTCTTCCATCTTTTTAGTTCTTCTCTCTAAGGGGCAGCTCTCTGGGAGGAGCCAGGGAAGGAATTTATTGAGAAATGTGGCTGACGTAAAAACGAAAGATATCAATGAAGGGTCACAGGAGAGAGAGAAATGAAAAGTGAAAATTTCTATAAAACTGGTCAGATGTCCTAGATGCTCATGTCACCACTGTCCCTGAACACTACAAATCAGCTTTGCTCTGATTTTTCACTCAGATTAATCAAATCATCCTTAATCTCCCTCCACCTGTGCAGTCTTTTCACCTGTCCCCTACCTCTGTATGTTGCCCCTGGTAGACAGGTCTGTTCTCTTCACCCCATTTCACAGTGAGGGGAACTGAGCATGGTGAAAGTCCATACCAGGTGTGATTTCCCCCAAATTCCTATGGTTTGGGGCTCAAAGGACCCATGAAGGATGAGGAAAAGCCAGGGAGCTGATGCAGGAACCTACCTAAGGCTAAACCTGCCTTTGCTGGAAGAAGTAATGAGTACTGCTCTCATTCTACTCTGTGGGAGAGGAAAGGGCAGGATGACTTCAGTGGAGCACAGTCTCCTGTCCTGCTCCTCATGGAAGGCCATCCAGATCAAGGGACGTCAGACCTGTTTGCATTCATGGCACTTTGAGCAGCAGGGCTGAGCTACACTGCACTGTTCAAACAGACTCCCCAGCCCAGCCAGCTGTGGTGGGGAAGGACCAGTGCTTGAGGGGGGCCCTACCCAGTAGGGCCAGGAAAAAGGTAAGTGCTCAGCAGAGAGAGTGCCTTTTTCTCCAGTGCGGTGTAGCCCCCACCCCTACTCCATAGCCAGAGACATGGCTGGCTCAGGGCTCTTTGACTGGAGGGGCAGCTGGACTCTGTCATTGCTGCTGGCCTATCTCTGCTACCTGCTGCTGGGTGCTGCCATCTTCCAGCTGCTAGAAAAGCAAGCAGAAGCTCAGTCCCGAAACCAATTCCAGATGGAGAAGCTACGCTTTCTAGAAAACTACACCTGCCTGGACCAGTATGCCCTGGAACGTTTTGTACAGGTGATATGGGGAGAAGGGGCTGGGGTGGGAAGGAAGGAGATGGGGGAGGTGGAATGACAGGACTTGCATAGGGAGACTCAGAAGTGGAGGCTGGAAAAGGAGGGGCTGGGCTTGGATGATCCCGGGGAATTCTGACAGAGACAGAGAAACGGAGGCAGGGGAAAGCATTAAGAGTAACTCTGCCCAATTCTCCTGGCCCACTGGTCCCTGAAGCCTCTGCTCCTTGATCTTCCTCCAGCTGAGTTACAATGCCGTGGTCTGGACAACAGTTGTGCCACACGGTTAAATGTCTGTGATAGCTATCCTCAGACCCTCCTCCAATGGGAAGGGCCTGAAGTTTCAGGTTCAGGAACATTAGACGGCAATGGTTGTTGTCCAAGCCCCTGCAGCGACTAAACCCAAGCCAGGAAGCTATTTTGATGAGTGAGCTCCTCTATTCAATTCCACCCCACCCCAACCCCCCTCCCCTACAGTGCACCTCTTTGATTACTCTGCATAGATTCTAAGCGTCCCTGGTCCAACAATACATAGTCTCATGGGGATGGGTCAGATGGTAAAGAAAGGATTTGATATACAGAGACCTGTCATGGCTTCTGTGGCAGACACCAGAAACAGGAGGATATGGTCTCTGCCCTTGAGTTGGGGAGGACAGATCATATTCAAATGATCTGAAATGATTAGAGGATGAAATGACTTAAGAATGATTAGGAAGCAGGGTCAACAACTGTAAAATCATAGCCACTGGATTTAGAGCTGGAAGGGTCCTGGGAGATTATCTGACCCCTTAGTTATCATTTTAATTTTATGGGGGTGGGAAGAAGGAGAAGGGGACTGAGACCCACAGAAGGGAAGTTATTTGTCCAAGGTCACACAGAAGAGTGCAAATAAGACTATTATATGTGCTGAGGGGGATTTAAAATAAGACTGGCCCATATGTTCATTGAGGAGAGCTTGCTAAGGAGTCTAAGAGCCAAGCCTAGGTCCCTTTCTTCCAGTGTATAGCTGTTCCTAGAGCCTTCTGCCTCAGAATCTATCCATCTTTCCTCCCTGCCCCCAGACTCTGCCAGTCAAAAATTGGGATCACTAACTCTCAGTCTGAGTAAGACTAAGATCCAAAGGACCTAACAAAGGAAAGGGCATGGAGACTTAGAAGGTGTCCTCCCCAGGACTGAAGGTGAAATAGAGAAGTCAGAGGATATGGAAAGCATTTCAAAGTGGAGACTTATTAACCTTCTGAACAGGAGCAGAACTAGTCTGCAGCAGGAAGGCTCTGGGTTAGATCACAGGCATTCAAGCCTTTTCATTTATTGGACTGCATGAGCAGAACTCTGTATGTGTTTGTGGGCTATGTGATATATATGTATATACACATATATACATATATGTATACATATATTTACCATTACAGTTATTCATTGATCAAGCCTGTTATCATGACACCTGGTGGTACACACTTACACGACAATAGCAGCTGGCAGATGGTTAGGCCCCTCTGGATTACCAGTTTACATGTGCTAACCAGAGTCATAAATATACTAGCTGATATAACCCTGGATAAGTCACAATTTCTGTCTGCCTCAATTTCCTCAACTGTAAAATGGGTATAATATCACCTGCCTCTCAGAGTTGTGAAGATTAAATAAGATATTTATTAAGCACTTAACACAGTGCCTGGTGCTTGATAAATGCTTATTTCCTTCCTACTATGATGCCTTTTCCACTGAATTAGAGTTTTCTCCCTTCTAAAAACCCACAAGGTACATATTAGACACCTAGACATAAAACTTTCTGATCACAGGGACTGGGTGGAGGGAATAGACCTAGGATTTCTTTGGTTTATGGAATGAATGCCTGCCTAAGACAACGTCCTCTACCAGTACCTTGAAGGATGGAGGAGGGGAGTTACTTTTTTTCACCTTAGGAGTCTTAGAGAGTTGCTAGAACACTGAGAGGCTAAGTGCCTTGCCCAGGGTCACTCAGCTACCACGTATCAAAGTTGGGACTTGAACCAAGATCTTCCTGGTTCTTTATCCAGTTTGCCACACTGTGTCTCACTAGTCACTAGAATGATCTAAGAGAAGCTGTGAAATCACCAGTTAGAAATAGTTTGGCCTAGAGGCAAGGGAATGTTCCCAGGATCCTTAGAAGACCCTGTGCTCCTAGGAGAAAAAAAAACCACAAACTACCAACATCTCTTGTCCTCCTATGCTAGCAGGGAACTTATAAATTAAAAATAATACACCATTAAGATTTCCATATACTGTCTCATTTGAACGTCCCAATTTCTCCAGTGGGTAACTATAGGCATTACCTTAATTTTAACCAATATGGAAACTGAGGTACAAGGCGATGCAATATCTTGCCCTGGTGTGTGTGTGTGTATATATATATATATATATATATAATATATATATACATACATACATATATACATATATATATATATATATATACATAGCTAGTAACTCTTGGAGGCAGGGTTTGAATACTACACTGCCTCTGAGCTGTTACTATAATTTTTTTGGTGTGTCCCATGGAAGTTTATCTTACTACTTTACGTCCAGTGAATACATTTGAGACCCAGTTTCCAGCGGGAGTGCTAGAGGTGGTCTGATTAGCACTGGGAGCAATTCTCTCTTGTGGTCTATCACTCATGCTCCTGAGAGTTTGAACCACAACGGTTAAAATCCTGTTATGAGTGGGAAGCACAGAGCAGCTTCCATGATACCAGGAGAGTGTTGATCACCATCATTAGGAAGCTTTTCTGATAGAGCACCAAGACCAGGAGTCTGTGATCATCTGAAAGCTGCTACCTACCCCCTCTGTCACTGACTCCCTGGGACAGGTCCTCAACTAAGTGACTTACGAATGAGTCCATCCCATTTCCCCACCTGTACAAAAGCCCCCCAAAAACGCCAGTTCCTTGTTCATCTGGACCAGCTCTCATGAGAATGAGATCTTTTTTTACATACCCAATTCTTATTTCTTTTGTTGCTACATCACCTTCATTTCCAGATACATCGCTCCTCCTTCCTTGCCCGGTCAGCCATCCCTTATCATAAAGAATCAAAAGGAAAGGGGGACAAAGCATTTTGGAAAAACGAATCAATACACAGGCTGAGTCTGATTCCACAGTCTTCGAAGAAGGGAAAAAGGCACATTTTTCAGCTCTTCTTTGGGACCAGCCTTGATCGTTGCAATTACAAAGCATTATTTTGTTATTACTGTTTTTGTCTTTTCCATTTAACTCACCATAAGGAAGAGTGTATAGTGTTTTCGTACTTCCACTTACATCATCTTTATAAAAGTCTTCCAGAGAGTTAATATTTAAGGGACAAAGGCAGTGTTTCTCATCCTTCCCCCATTGCCTCTAAGCTGGTCTGCAGCTATCCCAAACGTAGGCAGCTGAGCAGAGGGACAGGCACCTCCTGGTCTTAGAGACCTCTTGAAAAGAAAACACCCCTGCCTCTTTGACACACTCGTTCTCTCATTCAATGCCCCTCACCAAGAGTGAGGTGATCTTATTCCTTGCTGCTCCAAGTGAAGTCCATACCCTCCCCATCACCACCACCCTTGTGCACCCATTAGGGATATAGGTCCTGGTCCTAAGTTGCAATGACCCTTTAGAGGTGTGAAATACCTTCTTTCTGCAGCCTTTTCTTCTCCAGCCTAATAAATCCCAGCTTTTTTAATGACTATCTCTTAATTTAAAAGAGTAATGATTAAAAAAAACCACCAAAGATGATCAGGACCGCCACTTCTGTCTGCCAGCAGAGTGTTGACTGCTTCCATCTAAAGGGTTAAGGTCCTTTGCCATGGGGTTTATGGGAAAGGGAGTAAGGACAAAGTTTGGGTCTTTTCAGGGGCTCTAGCCTGTCAGACTGAGGAAAAGCAGATGGTGTCTTATGACGAAGCCCCTCTGGCCAGGCCACCACTCTACCCCCACTAGGCCTTGAACTCACAGAGTCAGCCTGCTAGGGAACATTTCTCATGGGAAGCTAAGTCTAGGGAAAGCTGTAACTATTCCCACTCCACACACACACACAGACACACACACCCCAGATGCTAAGAAAGCCTAAGGAGCTCCAAGTCACCATTAAGGCAAGAGGGGATAAGGAATGGAAGCCATCTCCCAGCCCACAGCAGAGAAGGCCATGCATGTGCACCCTCTGCTGGCTTAGGATTGGGTCTGCTAGAAGACCCTAGAAACTACCAGGTGACACAGAAACACAAGGGATGCCCCGGGCTATATTGTCCATCCCCTTGCCTCATCACCTCCAGAAGACCAAACAGAAGGAGGCCTTTCTTGTATTTGGACACCCCATGTGTATAAGACCATAGCCTTCCTTTGAATGTTCCCATGTTTCCAAGGACAAAGGAGCACTGTCCTTGGAGGACCTGGGTTTAAGAGGTACCTTATTAGATGTGTGAACATGGTCACATCATTTTGTCTCTTTGGGTCTCAATTTCCTCCTCTGTATAATGAAGGGGGTAGGACTAAATGTCCTCTAAGGTCCCTTCTAGCTCTAACATTCCATGATTCATCGAGTGACAGTTTGCCATTTTCTTCTCCAGCTCATTTTACAGATGAGGAAACTGAGGCAAACAGGATTAAATGACTTGCCCAGGGTCACATAGCTAGTGTGTGTCTGAGGCAGGATTTGAACTCAGGACTGACTCTAGGACTGATGCTTTATTCACTGCACCACCTAGCTGCTGCCCGTGATTCCATTTTAATGGAAACCCTTCCTACCATTCTGACAACTCCATGATGCCTTACCTTCCCAGACTTTGTATCCCTTCCTTTCCAGGTCATTCTTGTAATATAAACACCCTCTACCTAACCCTGTCCCTCCTTCTTCTTGATTACCCAATGTCTCCGTGCTCCCCATACCCCAATACTTCATACTTGGCACAGGTCATTATGGAAGCCTGGGAGAAAGGTGTGAACCCAACTGGCAACTCCACCAACCCCAGCAACTGGGACTTCAGCAACAGCTTTTTCTTTGCAGGGATGGTTGTCACCACCATAGGTAATGGGGAGTGGGTAGGAGGGGGGAGGGAAGAGGGCTAGACTCCCCTATTCTGGCCTCCTCCATTCTGAAAACCCCCAGGTCTCCTCTGCACAGGCTTTCAACACTAGTAACTCCTCCTACCTCCATCCCCCCCACCTACCCACTGTCCTCAAATCAGTCACTCCTCAATGAGGGAACTCCTGATTTCTATTTTGCCCACTCAGAATAGTTGTGAGATTTTTTTTTGGCGGGGGTTGAGGGGAAAGTTGTAAGGCATAGACATACATTCTGAAATCTGCATTTGATGTAAGCCTCACCACTTATCCTACTTCCCAATCCTCTCCCCCTCTCCAGGCTATGGAAACCTGTCCCCCAGCACAGAAGCAGGTCAGATTTTCTGCATCTTCTATGCCCTGTTTGGGATACCACTCAATGTGGTATTTCTCAATCATCTGGGTACAGGACTAAGGTCTCACCTAGCCACAATGGATACTTGGGGGCATCAACCAAGACACAACCAGGTACCACCTCTCTTCAGTCTACGACTCCTTCCTCACTCCTCACTGTAGTCCTAGCGCAGCAAAAGCTTCTCTTCAACCCCTACATCTCCTGGCTCTCAATCATGCCCTTCCTCCTTATGATCCCTGCCCCATTCCCAAAATACAACCACATTCCCATTACAGCTTGGCCCTGGTCCTTCCATCATCCCTCAATGAAGCCAATGTCCTTCCCTTGGACTGACCTCACATGTTCTCCCAGGAATGAGGAGGGAGGGACAAGTATGGTCTGTAGGTGGTCCCCTTCCTCAATCCCAACTTAGTTTGAGTTGTTTCTTCATGTAAAAGATCAGAATACCTGTTGGAGCATTATCCCCAAATCCCAAGAGTTCTGCAAAATCTGCAATTGGCATGGGATAGCATGGGATTTGGCAAATTAATGCCAAATAACCCCGGAGAAGCTGCTGCGCAGAGGAGGCCCAGCCTCCTCTTGTTTTCCTTCACTAAGGAAGTGGCCCCAGACCTCCCTGAAGTCATCCTGGAGCCATGGGAGCTGCTCCATCAGTTTCCTGTCTCTTTTAGGTGGTACAGACCCTGGGCCTTGCTCTGTTCCTGACTGTGGGGACCTTTCTCCTCCTCATCCTTCCCCCCATGGTCTTCAGTCACGTGGAGGGCTGGAGCTATGGTGAGGGCTTCTATTTTGCCTTCATCACCCTCAGCACTATTGGCTTTGGGGACTATGTTGTAGGTAAGGGAGATAAATGGGAATGGGGCATAAGGAACTGGGGCACTTTAGGGGCCAGGGCATCAGGAGCTAAAGGACCTGGGGGTTGAGGGGATGGGGATAGTGGGGCTAGAAGGCTGGAAACAAGGGATTCAGCCCCACCAAGACTGTCAGGCCCCCATAAATTCTTAGTAATGTGGAAGAAGCTGGTGGCACAATGGATAGAGCACTGGGCCCCAAGTCAGGTTGAACTGGGTTCAAATCCTGCCTCAACCATTTAATAGCTACGTGACCATGGGCAAATGACTTCATTGTTTCTATTTCTTTAAAACTCTTCCTGGGGTTTAAAGATGAAAAAAAAAACTTACACTACCTACCTCACAGGGTAGTTTTGAGGAAACCCCTTAAGGCACTATCTAAATGTGAGTTATTATTGTTAATATCAAGAAGTCTCTAGTCCTTGTCTATCCTTATCTTCCCTCCATCCCAAGGCCTGCCTTGTAGAACTGAGAGCCAGATCTGGCCTGAGTTAATGGGGTTCTCAGTGGCTCTGGGAGAAAGAAAAGCTTCTTCCCACACAGCCTCAGAAGCTAGGGTCCTCTAGGTGTTGCATATCATGAAGCCATGGTAGAACACCTGGGAAGAGCACCGTAAGCCAGATGTGTATGATTGTGAAGATCAGGATCTGTAGTGCGACTGTAACACAGGATTCCCTCTGTTCTCTCCCAGGCACAGACCCTGACAAGCACTACATCTCTGTGTACAGGAGTCTAGCTGCTGTCTGGATCATCCTGGGCCTGGCCTGGTTAGCTCTCGTGCTACCTCTGGGCCCCATGATCCTGCACCAACTCATGTACCTCTGGCCACTGAACAAGGATCCAAGCTCTAAGAAGGGCATAACTCCTGAGGCAGATGGGCTTTCTCACACCACCAAGCTCCCTATAACCATATGAGTTCATGGAGCAGTCCTAACCTACACACCAGCCACCTTTTCTTGCCTTCCAGCCCCCACATAGATCACCTGTAGTAAACACAATCCCTTTACGGTACCCTAGTCTTTCTTATCCCTGACCCTGCCTCCCCTCTCCATATCCTTCTCTTCTGGGTCATTCCCCAAGGGCTCTCCAACAAGAGGAAGGAAGCCTAAAACGTCCAGGTAAATGAATAATGGAGACCAAAGGAAAAAAAAAAGACAAACAGAAAGGCACAGAATAAGAGATACACGCTCACTCCAGATTTGCTTGTCCCTCTCTTTATCCCTCTAGGTTCATATCTAGAATTCAGCCTCCCATTTTAGTGACCCTCACCCCAAGCCTCTAGGAGACTGCTTGACTCACAGAAGAGACCACAGACCTTCTCCCCATAGCACACCAACAAAATCCACAATAGCGACACCATCACCAGACAAACCTTAAATTCAGGTGCTCTGCTCCTTCCCAATGCCCATCATTTAGGCTTTCTTGATTCAGGAGGGATGGTTATATAATGAGGGCTGTTCAAAGAGATAACATCCTCTGCCTGAGATGTACAATGGAGAAATGGTAGAAGTGAGCGTGTGTGAGGCAATAGTTACCTGGACGCTATTGCCTGGCTTTCCCAAAGGACCAGGGCTGGAGAAGTCATGCCCTGAAGTATGGAGTACTGTTCACAAACACAGCTTCTGAGTCCTAGGACACTACAGCTAGGCTTCCTCCAGGGACTAGTCACCCTCCTGGATATTTTCCCCGTTTTCCCATGCCCTATACCTGTGTCTGTGTTCTTTCCTCTCCGTGCCTTGTTTAAATACATGCTGTCACAGATCACAACATGATACGACTCTTTCTAAACAATGCTCTTCTATAAGCAGGCAATCCAAATGACCACAGGAAATAAGCCAGAAGAGTGCTGGGGAACCTCTAAAGTTTGCTTTCCCATGAACAGGATGGGGAGATGTTCTGTGGATAAGGGAACAATGTGATCCCAAGCCTGGGTTAGGAGTCAGTTTGCCTGAAGGGTAGAGGGATGGACAAGACCAAGGGTCACCAAATATTGCTCTGCTCTCCCCCAAAGGCCTGCTGGTAAACAGAGAACAGTAAACAGAGAGGGGCAGCATGTGGGTGCCCCTTATCTTGCCATTTCTAATGCCGTAGGCAGATGAGACATGCTGCCTACACCTCTATCCCTTTTAACAGTGTGTCTTCAGGAGGGCAGTGTCTTCCCACCAGCCTCCCATCCCTCAGCAAATGTCCAACTAATCTCACAGCTATTAGCATAAAAGAGGTGGGGGGGAGGGCTGGAACAAGAGCATAATCTCATCTTTACCCATTAAAGAAGAGGAAGTAATCTGGTACATAAGAGGTGACAAAATGACAAAAAGAACTTTAGGAAGAAGAAGGGTAAGAGATCCCAGAATGGGAGAGGGAGGTATCAGACTGGAAAAATAAAGGATGGGCTTCCGCCATCCACACAGCCTTAATGGCTGGTAGAAAACTAGGTGTAACATTTGGAAGCAGGGGGTAGGCTGAAATGACCTACAGTGGTCCCTTATTGACTGAAAAGTCTCAGTCTGGGCAACTTCCTCAGTTTCCCTCAGGTTCTAATAATGATCCTCACTCCGTGCCTAATGCTCTGGTAGTGGGGATGGAAGCCCCCGAAAACGGGTTGGTAGGATCCAAAAAGGCCATTTAGATAGCACAGGTTCAGAGTCTAAAAGTAAGTTATGGACCTAGGTAAATAAACTTGGCCTCTCTTTTTCTTCCTATGTAAAGTTTCTGTGGGCTTTGACTGCATTTTGTCGCCTGAGGTAATAGGAACTCTGAGTCCTCCCACTAGTCTCTCCCCAGCTCTTCTCCCTCCCTCCTCTACTCCTCTAGTCCTCTTACTCTGATCTTTTTAATTCTTGCCCTTCTCCCTCCCTCCTCCTGTGTTGCCTTCTTCTTTTTCCAGCTTTTTCCCATTCTCTGGGGACTTCAATCTGATCACACAGGCTGCTTATTCTGCACTGGGACTGGGGGGGGGGGGGGGGGGGGGGGGGTAAAAGGGGCGGGGGGGGGCCGTAGGGGGCATGGGGGGCATCTTCCTTGCATGCAAGGCGGGGCGAGATGCCAGGGGCTCCGTATTCTCTTGGGGGCTGGGGATTGGATCCTTGTTCGGGGTGGGGCGCTGGAACCAGCTCATATTCCCCTTGGAAGCCCAGGACCCCGACAGAACAAAACTGCAGGCACTTTCTAGGCAGGTAACTGGCTAGTCTACCCGGAGCCCCTTCCCTTCCCTGCTCCAGCTCCTGACCGCTCCTAGAATTGAGTCCATCCCTCTCCCCTGGCCTTCCAGGGTAAACACCACCCCAGACCCTTCCCTCCCTTTTCCCCGGCCTAAATCCAGGAGGATTCTACCCAAGCATGTTAGGACAGCGAGACCAGGCTGTCCCCGAGTCCGTGAAGAAGGTTGGAGCCGTGCAAAAGTCGAGGGTCAGGGAGCGTGCGCCGGACTGGGGGCGGCGCTGCGTGCTGCCAGGGACACCACTGCTCCTGTGCTGCTACCTGGCTTACCTGGCATTGGGCACGAGCGTGTTCCAGGCGCTGGAGAGCGGCAGCACACCGGTCTCCGAGGAGGCGCCCCAGCAAGCAAAGTGGGCGCTCCTTCACAACTACACGTGTCTGGACAGCGCGGCGCTGGACTCGTTAATCCGGGTCAGGCTGGACTATTTCTCTGGGTTACTGGGGCGAGGGGCGGGGATGAAGGAAGGGCTAGAAGCTGGGGATTTTAGGAGGGACCGGTCCTAAGTGAGTAGGGGGAGCCGAGGAAAGCCGGGAGCTAGAGCTCCTCCTCAGAGGGGCCGACAGGAGGTAGACTAGGGCGGACAGGGCTGGGAATGTTTCGGTTGAAGAGTAAATCTATTAAGGGTGGGTTACCAGTAGGTTGTGGAGTGTAGAATAGGAGGGAGTGTCTTGGCTGTGAGAAAAAGTGGGACCAGTTCATCTGGGGTTGGCGGGTGTTGGGGCACACTACACCCCACCCCCAGCTCTTCCCCTTTCCGCCCGCCCTGTGTTCCTGCCCCAGGTGCAGCATTTTGTTCAGACCCCACCCCCACCCCCTGGGTCCGCTTGGTGCTAATCCCCTAGTTGGATTCCGTGGTGTCACCAATGTGAGAATAAATAGAGGAGAGAGGGTCCGGGAGAGTGGCCTGGGTATCATGGGCTCCGAGTCCTCAAGACCCCAATTCCAAGACCCAGCTTTCTATTGCAAACTTATCCTGGAACTTTGAATAAGTCTGAGTCTTAGTTTCCTCATTTATAAAATGAAGGTTTTGGACCAGATGGCTTCTAAAGTTCTTCCAACATTAGTCTGAGATGGTATGAAGTGAATCGGGGAGTGCAAGGCCTGGGAGGGGAGGGAAAGGACCCCACCCTTTATGAGTTGATAAGCGCAATTCTACAAGATATTGAGTTTAGGAGAACTCTGCCAGCCAGAAACTCACTACCACCATTGCCACCCCCAAGCGTCAAAGACCTCACCTTTATTGGCAACTAATCCTTCACCTATCTGTCCGTCCCCTAGCAAAGGTCAGGAGATTAGAAATTCGAATGAAACAACCTCCCAAATACTGGATTTCAAAAAATCCAGCACTTGTCCTCTCAAGTATGTAGATCCATCTCTTTGTTCCATCACATCCCACCTCATCCCATCCCAGGAAGCTGGACACAACCCCAAGAAACCAGGTGGAGCCAAGAGTCCGTGGGCTCAGCAAAGGGCTGATTTTTCACCCAACAAAAGCAAAGCCAAAAAGATCCTCCTCCTCTCTGTTGATTTCAAAAGGTCAGCGGCTGTGTCCGTCCCTGTCTGTACTCCTCCACTGCCAGCCTGTCTCCTCCTCCCCTCCCCTCCAAGTCCTAGAACTATTCTCTGGGCTGTTACTCTGGAAGTTCCCCACTGCTTCACTCTATAGAGGGAGGAAGGGCTCCATGTTACTCTTGACTGGAACAACTACATTAATAATTTCAGTAAGAGAAACACCATTGTTCCAGTGGGTTGGAAGGGGAAAAAGAAAAATGAGGAAGAGGCCCTGTAGTAAGGGATCCTTCACTCTAATGGGAGAAATGTAGTACCTGAATGAATGAATGAATAGCATTTATTAAGGACTGTGTGCTGGGGAATACAAATAGAAATTTGAGACAGTTCCTGCCTTCAAGGAGCTTATATTCTAATAGGGAAGTCAACACATAAGAAAGTGGACAGGAAAGTGTATTTTCATCTAGTAAGTCATAAGGATGGTGAGTGTAGCCATGTGTATCAATTGACAGGAGATTTCCAGAAGTGAGTCAGCAAGCATTTATTAAGCATTTTTTATGTGCCTAGCACTGTGCTAAGTGCTGGGGGGACAAAGAAAGGCAAAAACAGTCCCTGCCCTCAAGGAGCTCACACTCTAATGGAGAAGGCAACACAAGACATATACAGATAGAGGGGATGTCATTTCAGAGGGGGAGGCACGGGGGGCTGGGGGGGGGGGGGAGCAGTCAGGAAAAGTCTCCAGCAGAATGTGGGTTTGAGTCTTGAAGGAAACCAGGGAAACTCAGAATTGGATATGAAAGCGCAAATCATCATAGGCTTGTGTGCCAGCCAAGGATGCATTGTAGCCAGCTCCTACCACTCCCTGGGATCATTAAACTTTTAGTGTGAGCATTTACACCTTGGAAATGGGCAGACATTACAGTTCTGAGTTTGATTTATAGTTTTGTCGATCGCCTAAACTTGGAAAGTGATGGAGAAAATGTTAGCAATGCAGATTAAACTTAAAAGTGTGTTATGCTTTTCTGAAAGCCACTGCAAAGCCTTGGAGATGGGTAGGTGTTCTAGAACTGTGAGTAAAACTGTGTAGCTGGATCAGAGAGAATGGAGACTGGATCTTAGCAAGGACCCAGGCTTGGAAAGCCAAATAGAGCATTTTATATTCTGGGGGCATTAGGAACTGGTAGAGTTCTTGGGGGGCGGGGACAACCAGGAAGGAGGGTAGTATGGCCAGATCTGCATTTTAGAAAAATAAAAGGCAGTTGGATAGCTGAGTGGAGAGAAGTGAGACAGGGAGATGAGTTAAAAGGCTATTACAATGGTCCAGCCAAGAGACAATGAGAGACAACTAGCATTGGGGTTGTGTGAGTGAAGAGAAAAGTGGGTATTTAGTAGAGATGTTGTGAAGGTAAACACGGAAGTTCAGAACAGAGGGGTTTGGGGAAGGGAAGACAATGAATTAACAAGTTCTGTTTTTAACATAATGGGTTTTGAGATGCTACATATTGAGTTGCAGACATACTGAGTTTTGAGATCCAGTTACATTATAATAGTGTTGATTCAATTACACCTCCCAGAGCAAGGAGAGAGGGGAGGGGAAGGCAGAGAAGAGGAGGAGGAGAGAGACAGAGACAGGCAGAGACAGACAGAGAATAGCATAGAAGAGGGTGCCCCCATAGACAGACAGGATAGATGGCAAGAAGTTGGCCAGTATGGGTTGCTGGATAGAATTGTTCAGAGGATAGCTGGAGATAGTGGCCATGCAGGTTAGTGTGTGTACTCACCCAACCATCTAGAATAGGAGTTCCAAAACTGCATGCCCTAGGGTATGGTCTCAAAGAAGGTCCACCATGAATAAGTCCCTGAGATCACTGTGGCTGCTGTCCCTACAGGCCATCATCTGGGAACACAGGAGAGGAGTCATCTTCCCCAGCAACACTACCAGCATGGGCCGATGGGAACTAGCAGGCTCCTTCTTCTTCTCTGTTTCCACCATCACAACCATTGGTAGGGACCTGGGACCTGGGACCTGGGACAAGGGGTAAAGGGGAGGAAATTTCTTCTTAGAGGCCACTAGGTGTCTCACTGCTTGGAGCTTAAATCTTGCCTCATGTACTAGCTATATGACCCTGGACAAATCATTTCATTGCTGCCTGCCTCCAGTTTCCTCAACTGTAATATGTGGATAAGAATAAAATCTAAATCACAGGGTTGTTGTGAGGATCAAATAAGATCATGTTTGTAAAGTGCTTTATGCACTATATAATTTTGAAATCCTTTAAGCTATATAAATGATAACCATTATTATTTCCCCAGATGGTAGGGAAGAGGGTCTCTAATGCTACCCCATCATTTAGGCTTTCTAAGGCATTTCAGGGATAGGGTTGGGAGATACAATTCCCCCCAAAGGGCCTCTACATTGGGGAAAATGCCTTCCTCTCTCTAGCATCATTTGGAAATGCAATACACAGTCAGGGTTTCATTTCAAGGACTGTCTAGGAGCTTGGGGAAAGTTGTAGAGCTGTGTGTTAGGACATACTGAATCTTTCCTTAAAATCTTTGATATGGCAAAGAACTTTTGAAGTCACAGTTTATAGAGGAGGAAAGTTGATGCCCAAAGAGGGAAAAGGACTTGCCCAGGATCACACAGGTAAACTTGACTGACAGATTTCGGCCCAGGTCACCCAACAAGTCTGATACTCACCATCCCTCACTGTAGAGGCAGGTATCATCATTCTCCCTGTTGTGTAATCCAAAAGCACCCCCTTTCACTTTAGCCCTGTCCCTGGTGGAGAGCTAAGGAATAATTTCTCTGTAGATGTGAAACTGGGTGAGGTTGGGACAGCCAGTCATTTGCCTCAGTACCTTCTCCTACACCTGTACGGGACAGACATCTCATGGTGTCTGATGGCCCCTTCTTTCAGCTTTGTACCATACTGGCCACCAGGTGGCAGTGTAAAACCATCAGTCAGCTCTCTGCCTAGAAGTGGTTTTTGAGTGGGATAGTGTCTAGTTTCTAGTTTCGGAGGGCAGAGCTGGGTTAGGGAGGTTTGCAGGGTTAAGTGGAAGGGCGGAGAGGACAGTGTTAGTGTCCAGCCATACTTCTCTCTTTTCTGGCTTCTGAGGTCTGGCTGAACTTGACCTCATCCCTTACCCCCACCCCCCAACTAGTTTCTCTAACTGTCTCTGTTCCAGAGGATAGGATTGCTTTTCTTGGTATCCCCAGAACCTAGCCCATAGTAAACACTTAATAATTTCTTTTTACTGACTCCCTGGAATTAAGAAGAAATAGCCTCACAGAATGAGCTGTCTATTTAATTAGGAACTAAAATCATTAATTCTTAGAATCATAAATCTAAGGATTAGAAGATTAAATCAAGAAATCATCATCATCTTAAGTACCCTCCCTTTGGGCAAATATGCTTAAAATAGAGAGAGCAAGGAAGGGAAGAAAGGAAGGTCTAGTGTAATAAGCCAGCCAATAAGCATTTATTAAGCACTAACTATATGCCAAGCACTGTGCTAAGCAGTGATGTTTCTGGTCAAAGTCCCTTGGAGGTATCATGGAATCTCAGGCTTGAAAGGAATTCCAGAAACCAGCTAGTCCAACCAACAACAGGACAAAGTTATCTTCTATAACATACCTAACAAATAGCCATCCAGCCTCTGCTTAAATGCATCCAGTGTTGGGCAGTTCACCACTCTGTAAAGCCATCTATTCTGTTTGGAGTCAATTCTAATTGTCAGGCAGCTCTTCCTTACACTGAGCCAAAATCTGCCCCCCTATAACTTCCATGGTCTTTTCCTAGTCATGTCCTCTGTGACCAAGCAGGACAAGACTAATCCTTCTTCTAAACAACAGCCTTTCAAATATTTGAAGACAGCTGTTATCCCCACCCCACCCCCACCCCCAGTCTTCTTTTCTCCAAGTCATACATCCTCAGTTTCTTTAACCTTATCAGATGGCATGGCTATCAAGTCAACTCCATCCCGGTGGCTCTCTTCTGGACAGATTCCACCTTGTCAATACCCCTTCTAAAAAATGGCATCCAGAACTGAACACAATGCTCCAGGTCAGAGGGCAGCTGGGTAGCTTACTCACTCATTTTTGGATGCTATATTTCTATTAATGATACCTAAGATCAAATCAGGGGTTTCTGGCTACCACATCATTTTGAACTTGCAATTCACTAAAATACCTAGATCTTTTTTGCATGAATTGATTTCAAGCCAGAAAGGCAACCAAAGACTTGGTTTCCTGGGGGAAGGGGGAGAACCCAAGTCAGCCAACAAGCATTGCTTTCTGTGTAGAAAGAATACAGTGCTTTGTCTGTGTCAAGCACTGTGCTGAGGGGAGAGAGTATAAGAGAAAGTCAAGAAGTTCACAAATTGTAATTCCGAGATAAACACCTACAAGCATACAGAATTTATACAATGTAAATAGGTGGTAAAGGAGGATGAGGGACTGGGAAAGGTCTCTTGTGAAAGGTGAGATTTGAGATGAGAGTTGAAAGAAGCCAGGAAGAGGAGGTGAGAAGGGAGGGCAGAGCTTCTCTTGAATACCTCTGCCTTCCCTGGGACACAGCTCCTAGGGTCCTGCCATTGTGGTACCACAAAGGGCTCCCCCTTTTCTCTCTGTCCTCCCTCCCTAAATCTCCTGTTCTTGAGATCAAACTGTCCCCTACATCACTGCTGTGTATCCCACAAATGACTTTGCCCCTAGCATAAGATTTCGTAATGGCTACTCAATTTCTAACCACATCTCCTGCATCCTTTAGTTGTAGATTTGATTATTTGAATTGAGTGCAATACTTTACATTATTCCTATTAAATTTCATCATCCACTTTTAGCCTCATTTCATCCTGTTGAAATCTTTTTGTATCCTAATTCCATCATCAATGTATAAACTATCCCTATTAGTCATCCACAGATTTAATAAGCAAGCCATCTATGTCTTTAGTCAGTCATTGATAAGAGAATACAGAAGACAGTTGTGTGTTATTCCTCTAAATACCTCCCTCCAAGAGATATGATCCACTCATCAGCACTCAACTCATTAGGTTGGGTCAGTCAAGAGTTCGAAACCCACATAACTGTACTTGTTCTGTCATTCAATCTCTCTCTTTCCTTCATGTCCACAAAGATATTTCAAGTCAAATGCTTTGCAGAAATCTTCATATATACACATTCTTGGCATCCCCCACCCCAATCTCTGTCAAGAAATCCCCTGTAATGTAATTGTCCTAGCTCATGGTCCTGCCCGTGAAGTCACAGAAGATCATATAAGTTAGCTGAGGAACTAAAGTAGCTCAAGGCAAGAGGTAGCTGATTTGCTAGATCTAGCTGCACCAAGCGCCCATTGCTGGCCAACAGACCAGGAATGGACAGTCCATAGCAGTGAGAAAGAGAGAAATGGTTGGAGAGGCTGATGGCACAGTAGGAGTCAGCGTCATCACCCTTATAAGATCAGAGGGTCATAGATTTAGAGCCAGAAAGTAGGATCTAAATAATAACTTCTGAGGTCATTCGAGTTCAGCCCTTAATTTTATTGAAGGGCAGAACTAAGGCCAAGAGGTCAAGTGAATTGCTCAGTCATACAGGTAGTAAATGGCAGAGTCTGAATTCAATCTCAGGTCTTCTGAGTCTTTCCCCAGCACCAGAAAGAGGCCCTAACAGATCATGTCCAGCCATCCTCCTTATTCAGGCCTAGGCCAACAGACCTTGAATTTTGTGTTTTGTTAAGAAGCCATATTTGTGTCCAAAGCACAAAGGAAAGGGGCTGGAGAGTTAGGAAGGGGCACAAAAACACCCAAGATGTAGGTGGACTTTTTGTCTTCTCAAATTGAGACCACCCCCAGATTCAAGTGTGGTTTTCCAAAATTCAGAATGTCATGGTCCTGGCCATCCTTCTGAACTATTGGTCCCATCTTGGAACCCTCAACACTACTCCCTCAACCACCCAAGGAAGCTCAGAATATTTGAGCTTAGCTTGAAAGATGAGAAGGGCCAAGAGAACAGGGAGGTGAGACAACACAATGCAATATAATCAATACAATATTTCATTCCTAGCCCCCTGAATTTACAATGGGTGATGCACAGAACAATAAAATGTCGTCACCTCCCTTAGAGGATTACTGTCTAAATGGGGAAAATTGACATACACAGACTAACTCCAGAACATCTTTAAGGCAATACTTCATAAAATGTTTAACCATGATGCAAACTGTATATGTAAGCACTAAGGAGACAGCAATGGAAAGGTCTTAGTGGAGGTTTAGTCAAGGAAGACTTCTTGGAGGAAGTGAGACAAGTATATAAAAGATAATGGGCTGGCAAGTAGCATGAGCCGTGGTGTGATACAGTACAGCCTGTGAAGGGAAACCAGGCTGTGTCAGTTGCGGGGAGAAAATGGGTAAAACCAGATATCAAAAGGCAGCCAGATGTGACCCACCTGGCCCCTGGGCATGGACCCACAGATTTTTATTCCCTACCTCCTTCCATTTACATAATCAGCCAGCCTACATGAACTAGTAAGGAAGGACTTTAGCACCCTACCCCCCAATACTCAGTATTGATTTGCAAAATTGCAAAACAAAACACAAAGAGACAAAGGAGGTCTCTGGTGGAGTGCCCAGTGAGATGTCCTTGGCTCTTTGCTATTGAATATCAGAAAAAGGCACCAATGATATGCTTACCAAATGTGTGGAAGCTTCAAAGCTAGGATGGTTAGCTAACAGATTGTATGACCCAGCCAAGGATTCAAAAAAAAAATCTAGATAATCCAGAACATTGAAACAAACCTAACAAGATGAGGGCAAACAGGGATCAATGTAAAGGCTTAGATCATTGCTCACTAAAAAATAATTTTTCTCAAGATAGGGGAGGAATAGATAGCAGGTCTGAAAAAAAGCCTGTGGGAAGCTAGGTGGCACAGCGGATAGAGTACCTGGCCTAGAGTCAGGAAGGCCTGAGTTCAAATGTGGCCTGAGATAATAGCTATGTGACC